CAGCCAGTGATCGCTCATCCCGGCCGGGGCAGGAGCCTGGTGAGTCCTGGGCAGGGCAGGGATCTGCCCCGGGGTGGCTGGAAACCCCTGGCCCCTAGGAAATGTGGGAAGGGGGGTTGGCTGGAACAGGGCTGCCTCCCTCGCACTGCAGGGCAGCACGGCAGCCCCTGGCCCTGAGCAAACGCCCCTCGCCCGGCGTGGAGGGGCAGTGTCAGGCCGCGGGTGTTGGGTGACACTGACCCTCGCCCACAGGAGTCTGGGGGGCGCTGGCTGTGGGGCTCAGCGGCGCTGGGCTGAGCCATTCTCGGCTAACGGGGCTGGTCAGAGGGAACCTCCTTTGGGATCCCCTCCGGCCCTGCCATCCCCTCACCCCCTCCCGTGGCTCCACGCAGGGACACGGCCCGTCAGTCACTGGGGCTCAGGGCTGGGCCCAGTGCGGGTGCAGGAATTAGCTGGGCCAAGGGGCAGAGCTGGGTCTGTCCCAGTCACCTCGGAGCCAGGGCTGCCCTGTGCCCGATGTTCCCCTCCTGCCAGCGCAAAGAGCAGGTGGCTAACAGAAGTTTTCAGGGGTTTCAGACTGGGAGTGGGGGGGCTAGATGCACTTCACTGTCTGTACACATTTTTAGATGTCGTATTAACACCCCACTGTGAGCTCAGCGAAACCACAGCAAGTGTTACGCTTAAACGAAGCACACGAGATCTTTTATAGGGGAAAAGGCAGGACGCCACTTCTATTGAGAATACAACGGTTGCATCTGCTTTTCAGTCACACACACACACAAAACATCATGCACACACAGTTCTGCCAGATGATATAGTTACCGGTCCAGAGTCTGTGTCAATCTAGTGGCCAGTTAGATCGAGCACAGGGGAGAGCGGGACCTTTGTCAGTCACGATCCGATGCTCCTTGATGGCAGACGAACTCAAGTTCTATAGCAAAGCATCCTGCTTTTTATAATCCGTTTCTCTTGTTGAAATCCATGGATTCTGCTTTGTCTGCTTGTGACCGGAACGTTATCTTTTTGATGTGAGTGTTCCCAAAACAGCTCTCCAAGGCTCACCCTGGCTGTGTCTAGACTACATGCCTCTGTCGTCAGAGGCATGTCGATTAGACACATAGGCAAAGGCAAATGAAGCCGTGATTTAAATGATCGCAGCTTCATTTACATTTACATGGCTGCCGTGCTGAGCCGACAAACAGCTGATCAGCTGTTTGTCGCCTCAGCGCGGCAGCCATGTAAATTTAAATGAAGCCGTGATCATTTAAATCGCGGCTTCATTTGCATTTGCCAAAACAACAAATCTACATGGCTCCGTCGACGGAGCCATGTAGATTTGTTGTTTTGGCAAATGCAAATGAAGCCGCGATTTAAATGATCACGGCTTCATTTAAATTTACATGGCTGCCGCGCTGAGGCGACAAACAGCTGATCAGCTGTTTGTCCGCTCAGCGCGCTAGTCTGGACGCTCCCCTGCCGACAAAGGGCTTTGATGTCGGCAGGGGAGCGTCCAGACTAGCGCGCTGAGCGGACAAACAGCTGATCAGCTGTTTGTCGCCTCAGCGCGGCAGCCATGTAAATTTAAATGAAGCCGTGATCATTTAAATCGCGGCTTCATTTGCATTTGCCAAAACAACAAATCTACATGGCTCCGTCGACGGAGCCATGTAGTTTAGCCGTACCCCCTGTGATCAGTCGTCCTTCCGGGGTGCTTGCTCCACTTTAAGGTTGTTAATCTGCCAATGATCCAATCTTCTTGTGAGTAGGACGGTTATAGATGGCTCCTCCGCATTCAGGTTGTCCCGTCCTCTGGACTTGCCCACGCTCGCTCACCCCCCTTCTTTGGCCATTGGTTCTAAGCCATATAACTTTGCAACACATTCACACTCCTCACACACACAGGAGCCATGTTACAAGAATGCTTGAGGTTACAGATCTGCAATTGTAGATCAAGCAATCAAACAATCAAGGCTTGTCCTTCAACATTAGCAGAATTCCTCTAATCTTATTAACACAGACACAATACCCAGAACTGTTTTTCTACTTTAGAACATTTACTAAACTTTACTAACATAACGTGCATGTTAATATATATACCTTATATTGCTATATTATTGCTACATTACTATATTACTAAACCTAATATACAAATATAAAAAGAATAAGGCTTTCAATCCTAACACAAAGGCAGGAGCTCCCAGAGGGCAGATGATACAGCAGCGGCTCAGCAGTGGGGTGGGAAGTGGGGGTCTATCCATGTTCTTGCACCCAGTGCAGCATGTCAGAGTAGCTGCCCTGTGGGCAGGTGGTGTGTGGCTGTTTTGGGTGCAAGGAGCCCTGTCCCTTAAGGTATGTCTACATTACAGAGTTTTGTCAGAAAAACGGCCGTTTTTCCAACAAACTTGAGGCACATCCACATTGAAATTGCGTTCTTCCACAAGAAAATCGAAAGAACAGAGGGGTTTTTCCAGCATTGGTAATCCTCATTCTACGAGGTAGAAGCCTTTTTGTAAAAGAGCTCTTTCGCAAAAAAGTCTGTGTGGACAGGGAAGAAGGAGTTATTTCTCATGGTAGCCATATTAACCACAGCTTATATTCGAGACGGCGTCCATTCAGTCTCGATGGTCACTGCTGACCACTGTCGGCAGACAGGCTACTGGGCTAAATGGACTTTTAGTCTGACTCAATACGGCCATTCTTATGTTCTTAAGCAGATCACTTTAAGAACTGGAAAGGGATAACAAATGGAGTTCCTCAAGGGTCTGTTTTGGGACCCATACTGTTCAATATCTTCATCAATGATGTAGATATTGGGATAGAGAGTACGCTTATTAAGTTTGCAGATGATACCAAACTGGGTGGGGTTGCAACTTCTTTGGAGGATAGGGACATAATTCAAAATGACCTTAGCAAGTTAGAGAAATGGTCAGAGGTAAACAGGATGAGGTTTAATAAGGAGAAATGCAGAGTGCTCCACTTAGGAAGGAACAATCAGTTCCATACATACAAGATGGGAAGCGACTGTCTAGGAAGGAGCATGGCGGAAAGGGATCTAGGGGTCATAGTGGACCACAAGTTGAATATGAGTCAACAGTGTGATGCTGTTGCCAAAAAAGCAAATATGATTCTAGGTTGTATTAACAGGTGTGTTGTAAGCAAAACTCGTGAAGTCATTCTGCCGCTCTATTCTGCACTAGTTAGGCCTCAGCTGGAGTACTGTGTCCAGTTCTGGGCGCCACATTTCAAGAAAGATGTGGAGAAATTGGAAAGGGTACAGAGAAGAGTGACAAGAATGATTAAAGGTCTAGAGAAGCCTATGAAGCCAGGCTTCATGAACTGGGCTTGTTTAGTTTGGAAAAAAGAAGATTAAGGGGGGACATGATAGTGGTTTTCAAATATCTAAAAGGGTGTCACAAGGAGGAAGGCGAAAATTTGTTCCTCTTGGTTTCTGAGGACAGGACATGGAGTAATGGGCTTAAAGTGCAGCAGGGGAGGTTTAGATTGGACATTAGGAAAACATTCCTAACTGTCAGGGTGGTCAAATATTGGAATAAATTGCCAAGGGAGGTGGTGGAATCTCCCTCTCTGGAGATATTTAAGAACAGGTTAGATAGACATCTGTCAGGGATGGTGTAGGTGGAGCAGGAGGCTGGACTCGATGACCTCTCGAGGTCCCTTCCAGTCCTATTATTCTATGATTCTATGATTCTATGACTTTTTCTATGTGCATTTGCAGTGTGGACACTCTCTTTCGGAAGAAGTTTTTTCGGAAGATCTCTTCCAACAAAAGCTTCTTCGGAAAGAAGCCTGTTGTCTAGACATAGTCTCAGAGAACATGTCTGGGCTTTGAAGACCAGAGTGGCTCATGTGGATGAGGTCTAAATTAGCTGTTACCACTCAGAGGAGTGACCTTAGAATCACTGTCAAGAGTTGTCTGGAAACATTCACTCACTGTGCAGCAGCAGTGAAACAAGCGAGGACGATTTGGGAAAATGATTAAGAAAGGGATCGGTAATAACACAAGGTTACCCCTATATAAATGCAGGATACGCCGCTCATCATGAATGCTGCTTGCCGATGTGGTCATCAGACTCAAAAAAAGACATGTTGGAACTGGAAAAGGTTCAGAAAAGCATGACAACAGTTGTGGGCTTTGGAACAGCTGCCATAAGAGGAGAGATTCATAAGTCCGGGATTTTTCATCTTGGAAAAGAATTGACCGAGGAGATCTACGACCCAGATATACAAAATCAGGACTAATGTGAAGAAATTGAATAAGGAAGAGAAATTTACTCATTCCCATAAGACAAGGACTAGGGGTGGCCAATGATATTAATAGGCAGCAGGTTTAAAATAATCAAAAGGAAGTTTTTCTTCACACAACGCAAAGGCAGCCTGTGGGATCCTTCGCCAGAGGCTGTTGCGAAGGCCAAAATTATTACAGGGTTCAAAAAAGAGCTAGGTACATTCATGGAGGATTGGTCCCTCCATGGCTATTTGCCAGGATTGTCAGGGATCGTGTCCCGGGCTTGTTGGCTAGTTGCTGGGACTTGGGCTATAGGGGAGGGACCACTTGCTGATTCTCTGTTCTGTTCATCCTCTCTGGGGCACCTGGCCTTGGTGCGGTCAGTCGACAGGACACTGGGCTAGATGGACCGTTGGTCTGACCAGTACGGCCGTTCTTATGTTCTGAGTGTGACTGTAACACACACGTGGAGCAGAGATTCTCTTGCAAACAGGCATGCCGGGAGCGTTCTCCTTGCTCACCCGGGAGCCGGTGCCAACCAAATCACCTTCGTTCTGTGGGAATGGAGATGTTCCGTAGCAGGAGAGTTTCTGAGTTTATGCTCCCGTCCCACAGGTCACACAAGGAATTTTTGGAAGGCGTACGTGGCTCTGACAGGAAACGCATTTTAGTTTTAGCTGAGAACCAATTTCTCACTGTTTTCCCTTTTTTTGGTAGTTTCTGGGATTTGAATAGAAGCTCCAAGGGATGGTGCATGATGCCAGCCGACAATCACACCTCTTATGCCCCTGTAACATACATCCTGACTGGCTTCCCGGGTACGGAGGAGTCTCAAGTCTGGCTCGCCACCCCCTTCTGTCTGATGTACATTTCAGCCCTTTTGGGGAACTCTCTCCTCCTCTTCATCATAGCGACAGAACAAAACCTCCATGAGCCCATGTACCTTTTCCTCTCCATGCTGGCTGCTGTTGATCTGCTGTTATCCACCACCACAGTGCCCAAGATGCTGGCCGTGTTCTGGTTCAGAGCAGGGGAAATTTCTTTTGCTGCCTGCCTCACCCAGATGCTTTTCATCCACATCAGTTTTATTGCTGAGTCGGGCATCCTGCTGGCCATGGCGTTTGATCGGTACGTTGCCATCTGCAACCCCCTGAGATACACCACCCTGCTCACCAAGCCTGTGATCGGGAAGATCGGGCTGGCGGTTCTCACAAGGAGTTTCTGTCTCATTTTCCCCGTTGTCTTTCTTGTGATGCGGCTGAAGTTCTGCGGAACCAACCTCCTGCCTCACACCTATTGCGAGTACATGACCATATCCCGGCTGGCCTGTGACGACATCACAGCCAACTTATGGTACGGGGTCGCCATGGCTATTTTAGCAATTGGCTTGGATGCTGTGCTCATTGCTGTGTCTTACGTGCTGATCCTCAGGGCCGTTTTCCGGCTCCCGTCCAAGGGAGCCCAGCTCAAGGCCCTGCGCACCTGCGGCTCCCACGTCTGTGTCATCCTGATGTTCTACATGCCATCTTTTTTGTCCTCTTTTGCCCACCGGATAAAGCACATCATCCCCGGTTACATTGTCAACCTGGTAGCCAACCTCTATGTGTTCATTCCCCCCATGTTAAACCCCATCATTTATGGGGTGACAATGAAAGAGATCCCGAAGCAGGTGATGAAGGTGTTTTATAGATGCTGCAGCAGAGGCGCAAGCAACAGAAATGCCTTGGGACTTGGAAATTAAAGCCAGATTTTCATCTGAAATGTAGTGGTGCTGTAACTATGGGGAACAGATATGGCTACGAGAACACTGCACTCTTCCACAAAAGGCAGCGGGATACAGTGTGATGGATTGGAGGGGTGCTGCCTTTTCTGAACATCCCAGCCCTCAGGAACTAAAGGGTTACACTCCGGTAGCTAGGATATGCTAGCAAGCAGCCAGGAGAGCCAATGAGAAGAAAGTGTTGAGATTTTAATTGAAAGGAAACCCGCTTGCTATTTTCTTTGTGTGAGTTTAAGCCAGGAGCTGGAGGAGGAAGATGAATTGAACCAAGCAGGACTACCATGCCTGCAAAGCATAGTGGGCATGGGAACGGACTGGACCGTGAAGTATGGATATGTGAGTAGATAGGGAATGTCTATTTAGATGTGATCAGATTATATGCTTTGTTTTGTTGTTTGGTTAAACTCTTCTGGGCTGTGTCCATGTGACCCCCCGCCCCATTATAACTTTAAAGCTGAATCCCAGGGATACAATTCTCTGTGTTTTAATCTGTTCTTTCCTCAGTTGCTTTATAACAGCTAGCAACCTAGTGTGCTTTGTCAAGTAGATCCTTTGTTTTGTTAATAAAATCACCTTTTTAAGGCTGTGGCTTGGTTCTTGTGTCCTGGAAGATAATAGGAGGTCTACGTATGCATGGCTAAGACTGTGAGGGCAGACCCTCATTCCAGGCCTATGGCCTGCATCTCCCAGACATTTCATTTGTCTGCCCGATAACACATTTTGCGTGGATGGGCCCAGCTTCCCCAGCGTGTTAAAAAGAGGGGGACAAAGGTATGGAGAAAGGTCCTGGGATGCTGTTATTGTGTTCATTGCACATGCTCTCTGGTGTCCCAGCCATGGGAGACACAGAACAGAATTGTGGTGTGCAAACGCTCTGTACTGCCACATCTAGGAAGATCTGAGCCCTATTATTATTACTAGCACTTGTTCTCCAGTCTATATCTGGAAAGCTGAAATCTCCCATGATTATGCAGTTTCCATGAGCATTTATTTTATTAAAAACATTAAAGAGGTCTCTATCCAGATCCACATTGGATCCTGGTGGTCTATAACACACCCCAAGCACTATCCCAGGGGAGGATCTGATAGTTTTCTTCCCCAATGTGATTTTTGCCCAAACGGACTCTGTCTTCTCCATTCCATCACTTTTTATTTCTTTACAATCTACCTCATCTTTGATATACAATGCGACTCCACCACCTTTACCCTTATTTCTGTCTTTCCTAAACAACACATACCCTTCAATACCTGTACTCCAGTCATGCCTAGTATTCCACCCTTTCACTTCCTGGACTAATCGCTGTAGTTCCTCCATTTTGTTACCTAAGCTCCTCACAGTGGTGTACAAACATCTTAATTTTTGCTGTTTGGCCTCACTCACATTCTTTACCCAATTTGGCACAGACGTTGTACCTCCAATATGACCTATTAGACTAGTATCCACCCTACCCTTCCTCATGTTCATTCTCCTACCCCCAGCTATATCCTTTCTTACTTCGTTTTCCTCCCTCTCAGTGTTAAAATCTGGCGTTGAGATTACCTGGACATCTCCCAACTGTCTCCCCCAAATTCCTAGTTTAAAGCTCTCTTAATCAGTTGAGCCAGCCTCCATCCTAGAAGTCTATTTCCCTCCCTACTTAGGTGAAGTCCATCCCGAGAGAACAGTCCTCTGTCCATAAATGCCTCCCAGTGACCATATATCCCAAAGCCCTCCTTATAGCAACACTGCCTAAGCCATCTTACTTGCCCTTCTCTAGGAACAGGCAGAATCCCACTAAAGATCACCTGTCCTCAATTTCCTTGAGCATCCTCCCCAGCCTAGCATAGTCTCCCTTAATTTGTTCCAGCAAGAATCTAGCCTTATCATTTGTTCCTACATGAAGGATGATCAATGGATTCCTTCCTGCTCTTCAACCTCAGTTCCACATCCCATATCTTAGCACCTGGCACACAGCACAGCCTTCTATTCTCTGGATCAGGTCTGGTTACAGGCCTATCTATTTTTCTCAATAAAGAGTCCCCAATCATGTAGACCTGCCTTTTCCTGGTGACAGTGCGATTCTCTGGGCTCTCTCTTGCTTCCTCTTTCTGCAAGTCCTTGCCATTCCTATTTTCCCTTGTAATCCTCTTTAACCCATCCTGTATCCTCCTGATGCTCATTATTGGTGTTGTCTTCATTAACTCTTCCCCTTTGTCTATGGGACTAGCCACTCTCCTCTTCTTCCTTACCCTTCCATCTTCATTATCTACCTGCTGTACCCCTTCTTCATTCTCCAGCTCCACATACCTGTTCTTGAGCTCTATTTTTCCTTCACTGACCCATTTTTTCCTCTGCCTGGTTCTCTGACTCACATGCTTCCACTGTCCATTTTCTTCGCCCAGCAGTCCCCCACCTGCGGCAACCTTTCCCCTTCAGCCACGTCATGCCTTTGCTCCATCATCTGCTCAAACCCCCTTCTAAACTCGACCAGAATTTCCACCTGCATCTCCAGTCCTCGGATCTTTTCTTCCATCAGCTCTAGCAGGCGGCACTTCATGGAAACAAAACTCCTTTCAGGTACCCCCTCCAGAATCATGTACCAGAATCATGGCAGCTACCACTTCCAATCACCCTGCTTGTGTTCTCCACTACTTGGGCCATGGCCACTACTGCCTCTGTGTTTTATCTACTTTCTCACCAAAATCCTATTAGTCCGGTGAACACAAAAACAGACCAAAACACCCCCTCCCCAGCAAAAACAAACCCCAAACAAGTCCCAATATCCAAACTCCCACTCAAACTCCCCTGTTTACAGCTCTGTTTGCTGGCTCCTGTGCCGCTGCAGCTATCTATGCCGCTGCCTGCCTAGAAGGCTACCTTTATAGGACCCCTAGTCAGTGAAGCCCCATCCTCTAATCAGGGCTCAGCTTGTCTCTCAGCACACAGGCCCTACAAGTCTCTACATATACAAATCCAAATCCAAATGCAAGCTTCTCCTCCAACAGAACTCCCACTCAAACTCCCCTGTTTACAGCTCTGTTTGCTGGCTCCTGTGCCCCTGCTGCTATCTGCTCGTTAGCATGTCCATAGGCTGAACTGCTTTGCCCATAGTTCAATCACATATACATGCTTCTAACGTCACATACCGACATTATACAATCACATGAATAGCATAAAAGGAATCAGAAGGAAATAGGCTTCTATTTGACACCTCACATGGCCCCCTTTGTGCCACTTTTGGGGCCAACACCCCTCCCCACCCATGGGTGCAGCAGTGATCTGGCTGTTCCCCTCAAAATCCAGTAACATGACAGAAGGGCAGAGAGGAGTGAGCTGGAGACGGGGTGACGAGGTGGTGCGGGGAGGGGGGGCGGTTGGGAAAAGGGATGGGTTGGGAGTAGAGGTCCAGGAGAAGGAGCTAGGGAGGCTCTCAGGGGAGGAGAGCAGCAGATCAGGGCCCAGGCAGAAGGATGGCTAACCAAGCGGGGTGAGAACGCACTCCTGGAATGGCCGTCACCACCACACACTGTGCCCTGGAGATTAACTTCATCAGTCCCATTGTCAATGTCCATCTTTTCTTGTTTCGCTATGACCTGGAAATTAATCCCAAGCTTCTTGCTCGTTTCGGGCACATTTTCTGGAAGAGGTGTGTGGTGCAGCGAGTGTGTCAGGTCTCAGATGGCAGCTGCTGTCAGAAAACAGGGAACTCTTTGCTGGGGTCTCTGCATCGCAACAACCTGACTAAATAACACACAACAGGAGACAGGCTCAGACACAGCCAGGGAGGGGAAAGGGTTAATTCTCGGCTGCTGCTTTCCTCCTGAGTCAGTCTTAGAGGCCAGGTCCCGGGGGCTCCCTGCTGGCTCCGAGCCCCCGCTGGCTGTGGGGCTAACGGGCCTGTTCGGAGGGAACCTCCTTTGGGATCCCCTCCGGCCCGTCACACCAGGAAGGTTTGCTGGGGTCTCTGGTTCTGTCCCCACAGTCCAGTCTTAGCTGCCCCTCCAGTTCTCACTGATTTTCTCTCTTGCTTTTAACTCCTAGAAGTGGAATGAGAAGCTCCAAGGGACGGTGCAGGATTCCAGCCGACAATCACAGCGTTTTTAGCCCTGTCACCTTCATCCTGAGCGGCATCCCTAGCACAGAGGGGTCTCCTGTCTGGATCGCCATCCCCTTCCGTCTCATGTACTTTGCAGCTCTTCTTGGGAACTCTCTCCTCCTGTATATCATACTAAGGGAGCGAAGACTCCATGAGCCCATGTACCTTTTCCTCTCCATGCTGGCCACAGCTGATCTGCTGTTATCCACCATCACAGTGCACAAGATGCTGGATCTATTCTGGTTTGGAATGGAGAAAATCTCTTTTCCTACCTGCCTCACCCAGTTGTTCTTCATCCATGTCAGTGTTATTGCCAAGTCGGGCTTCTTGCTGGTCAAGGTGTGTGATCGGTACGTTGCCATCTGCAACCCTCTGAGATACACCACCCTGCTCACCACACCTGTGATCAGGAAGATCGGGCTGGCGGTTCTCACAAGGAGTTTCTGTCTCATTTTCCCCGTCGTCTTTCTCATGATGCGGCTGAAGTTCTGCGGAACCAACCTCCTGCCTCACACCTATTGCGAGCACATGGCCATATCCCGGCTGGCCTGTGACAACATCGCAGTCAACCTCTGGTACGGCATCACCCTGGCTATGTTAGCAGTTGGCTTGGACACTGTGCTCATTGCTGTGTCTTACGTGCTGATCCTCGAGTCCGTCTTCCCGCTCCCGACTAAGGGCACTTGGCTCAAGGCACCTGCAACTCCCACATCGGTGTCATCCTGATGTGTTACATGCCAGTTTTTTCTCATATTTTGCATACCAATTTGAGCGCATCATCCCAGGTTATATTCTCAATCTACTCACCTACCTCTACGTGCTCCTTCCCCCCAAGTTAAACTCCGTCATTCATGGGGTGGCCACAAAAGAGATCCTGAAACGTGT